AGCAAAGAATTTAAGAGTGCATACTATGTGATCGGTTGCACCGGAATCGATAATCCATGTAGCAGAATTTAATATGACAGAGTTGGCTTGTATAGAATCAGAATACTTGCCTTCATCACCATTGTTTGGTTTAAACCTTGGAGCCAAGGTAACTGCTGCTGTAGTAGAGGATTGACCCTGCCCTATTTGATTTTGGAGCAGGGATATGAGACCTTGAATCTGATCAGAAGTGAGGCTAGTTTCAGAAGTTATAGTTGCTGCTGTGGATTGTTGTTTGCTTCTTGATTTGAAGCCTGGCACCCACCCCGGTGGGTAGCCATGTTTCTTGTAGCATTTTTCGATTGTGTGTCCTGTCATGCCAGAAAACATACACCTAGGAGTGTTCTTACTTCCATTCCCCATATTCATCACTTTTTTACCATTGGAGAAATTGACAGCACCAGCAACTTCTTGTGTATCAGTCTGTCCAACTTGGACTGCATTTGCATGAGTAATTCCTATATCACCATTGCTCAGGTTTGAGATGATCAACTGCCTTTCAAGCTTCTCGGCCATAACGAAGATCTTATGCATCTCAGGTAGTGGATCTAGCACAAGAACTCCTAACTTCAAAGAGTTGAAGTTTTCATTCAATCCTTGAAGAAAACGTATAATCTGGTCGATCTCTCGATCTTTTCTTATCTGATCTACAAGATCGCATGAGCACCTAGGTTCGCACTTGCAGATCGGGAGGGGTCTGAGGACATTCATTTCTTCCCAAAGAGTGTGAGACTTTGTACAATAGTCATTGACGGATAGAACACCTTGCTTCAACTCATAAATTTCATTCTGCAAAGCAGAGATCCGATGTAGATCGCACTGGGAAAAACGCCTTCTTAGATCGTTCCATACATCTTTGGGATTCGCAATGTACATTACGCTCTGCGCAATTGAATGGATCGTCGACTTGAGGATCCATGAACGGACAATTAGATTGCACCTCCTCCAAGCTGCGTACTGTGCGTGATCCCTGTCTGGTGCGGCTAAGCCTCCGTCAACTATACTCAATTTGTTTTTAACTTCTAGGGCTATTTGCATAGAAATACTCCATGAGCCGTAATTTCCACTGCCAGAGAGTGGTGGACTAACAAGTATAGCGTTTGCATTTTCATTGACGCTCAGATAAAGTGGATTTTCAATATCTTCAGCGCCATTGTTCCTCTGCGGAACGTGGTCTCTCTGCTGGTTGGATGCGATCGGAACTTGAACTGTTGGAGGTTGATTGACTAGTGGTGTCGGATGAGTGCCTTGGCTAGACTCGCCGGAACTGGAGACCGCGACGGCATAGCTGCCCCTCCGTGGCTCTGATACCATATCGGAAAAAGGGAGATGTGCGCAGAGAAAAGGAAAGGAAAAATATACTGGAAAAGAAGAACTGTCTCATTAAGCTCAAAGAGGAAGGTTACAGAGAGACTTTATACATTGAGAAGAAAAAGGCGCCAAATATGGTTACAACCGAAAAAGGGGGTTTATTGATTTATTTGGCCTTCATCTCTTTGTTGCAACTGCTCCTTCAATATCTTTATCTAAGTTTTGGTTGTTTGTGTGGTTTTTGGCTTGTATTTGGAAGACCTTGTGGAAGAGGAGTCCCAAGAGGAGGAGTAGGGGTTGAAGGAAGTGTGTCTAGGCTTAAGGAGGTAACTCATGCTCTACAAAACCTATTTTATACTTGCTATGATGATTTCTTGATGTTCTATTGATGTTCTTGACATTCATGAGTGAAATGATGCATATTCTTGTGTTTATCATGTTACAGCTTGTATCTAGGGTTCATAAATGCTATTCTTTGAGCTATTCTTGTTGTTCAAGTTCCTTTGATAATTGATGTGAGATTTTGGGTGTTTTGGACTTGAACTTGGTCTATCTTGCAATTTCCCCCGAAGGGGAATGATTTTGTGGCTCGGGGTGTACCCGCGGTCAGAACAGCGGGTGGTGCGCCTACCGGCGTTCCACCCACGGGGAACGTGAAGGTTGGTGGCAGGGGGGGAGCCACGGGTGGCTGCCTACCCGTGGTTCCACCCGCTGGTACCTGTGTAGGGGGGTGGCGGGAGGACGGGAGGTTGTCCACCCACCGTTCCTCCCACTAGTACGTGATGCTTTGGCCTCCGATTTGTTGAACCGTTGTGCAATTGTGTGTCTCATTTGATGTTTCGTACGTCTAGAACGGTGTCTTAAGTATCAATGATAGGATTATGAGTCTTGAATCATGTTTAAAGGTCCAACCTTGTGATTCGTTGGATTAATGTGAATTCTTTTATGTTCGTTTGAACCGGTATGGTTATCATATTGATTTGCATGCTAGTTACGATGTTGTTGGTACTAGTATGTATATGTTCATTCGTTCTCAATGAAGATTGGTAACTTGTATTCACCAATCATTGTAATCTTTGGATTAAAGTCTATAGTTATTGTGACGTTGTATTGAATGTTCCTGCTATCCTTGAAGTCTTTCGATTGAATCTCTTGTTGTGATCTTGTACATATGTTGTACTCTATTGATTGATCCTTGATTGGGCTATTGATAAGCCTCAATCCTCTGTGTCAATGACTATGTGTTATGATGAAAAGCTGGCGAATATGAGCTGCGTGCTCAAATGATTGGCGGTATACTATCACGTGATAAGTACTTTATTATTATGACATTGCGATGTCTATGAAAAGCAGGCGGAAAAGTTTTTAAATGTCTTAATTAAATACACCCCTTAATTGTACATTTCTCATTTTTTAAAGTTTAGGAACTTAATTACATTTTTGTATAAAATTCAATGACATATTTAACTCTTTAATAGGGCGTTTGGTTAGAGATGGGGAATTACGTGGGAAAAGAATTGCAATTTCATGGGAGAGAATTACTGAAAATAAAGTGGGAATTTAAATTTCAGTGTTTGGTTTACAGGAATAGAATTACTGGAAATTCAATTCCAATGTTTGGTATACATGAGAATTAAAAAGAAATAAGTAGTATAAAGTCAAAAATGTCCATTGTTGTTGTTAGGCATTAATTTTAGGTAGGGGTGTCAATGCGGGCCGGCCCGCACCATTAGGCCCTCCCCAATGCGAGCTTTTTATTTAGTGGGCTTTGCGGGCCGGCCCGCGAAACCCGCGAGCTTGGAACTACACAGCCCAAGCCCGCCCCACGCGGGCTTGCGGGCTGACCCGCAGGGCATCACTTATATTAAAAAATAATAATAAATAGTACATAAACTGATAAACATGATAAAATCGCTGGCCGGCCCCTGAGCTTTTTTTTTAGTATTTAAAAATTTTGAAAATTAATATTTTAAAAATATTAATCTCATACATACATATATATATATGTGTGTGTGTGTGTGTGTGTGTGTGTGTGTATTCAAATGAGGACAAGTATATTATAGAGGACTGTGAGGACAGATGTAGTGTGTGCCTTTAGCCGGTATGTCGTGTGCATGGCCGAATGTAGTCGTGTGCCACAGTTTGTATGTCGCGTGCTAGATTTTTTAATTTATAGAGCCTTGGTTCGAAACCTGATGTTTACATTTATTCTTGTGTGCCATTATGTATTAAGTTGTATGCCTGGTATTAATTTATTATGTGCCCATTATTTGTCCTCACAGTCCTCTATATATTGTTGTCCTCATTTGAACTCAACCCTATATATATATATATATATATATATATATATATATATATATATATATATATATATATATATATATATATATATATATATATTTGTAATACGTCTAGCCTGCTGGCCGGCCCACAGCCCGCGCAAGTTGTGGGTCAATTTTGGCCCGTCCCGTTAGGCCCGTATTTTCACGGGCCTATTTTTTCATGACCCTAACTCGCCCCAATCGTTATGCGTTGGACCCGTGTCCAGCATACTTGCTGGACACGGGTAACAGTGCCGTTAGGCACTGTTATCTCTTTTTTTTTTTTTTTTTTTTTTTTTAATTTCAGACCGCTTCGTTATAGGAGTATATGTTTATAATTTTATTACTATATTATTAATAACTGTACATTCATAACTCCATAACTGTACGTTCATAACTCTATAACTGTACATTCATAACTCCACAACTGTACATTCATAACCTCATAACTGTACGTTCATAACTCTATAATTGTACATTCATAATTTTCGAAGCTCTATGTTCATAATTTTATCATTATATGTTCATAATTGTAAGTTCATAATGTTAGAGCTCTTTGTTCATAATTCGATCAATAACTGTACATTCATAATTTCATAACTCCATAACTGTAGATTCATAACTCCATAACTGTACATTCATAATCTTCGAAGCTCTATATTCACAATTTTAAAGCTCCATGGTCATAATTTTATCACTATATATGTTTATAATTGTAAGTTCATAATGTTAGAGCTCTGTGTTCATAATTTCATAATTGCATAACTGTACATTCATAACGGCATAACTGTACATTCATAATCTAAAAAAAAACAAATAACGCCGTTAACGACAAAACGCGCGCGAATTTTTTTTTTTTAACTAAATGACGCGTTTTTTTTGAAAAACGGCATCGTTTTGGGCCCGTGTCCACAATTCACTGTGAACACGGGTCCAGGGCATAATTTGCCAACTCGCCCCACCGCGGGGCGGGTGCGGGCCAACCCGCGGGCTTCGGCCCATTGTGACAGTACTAATTTTAGGTTAAAAAATGAAGGGGTAATTTTGACTCGTCACTATCTTTTTTTCTTCCTAAAATCTCAGGAATTACAATCCCAGGAGACATGGAATTTTAATTCCATGAAAATGGGGGAATTGCAATTTCTTTCAACTAAACAAGGAAATTTTGTAACCTTTAGAATTAGGTGAGAATTAAGTGGGAAGGAATTCCCTTCAACCTAACGCCCTGTAAAGCTACAATTGTACTCTCTTGAATAATTTAAAAGCTTATTTGAGCTTCTCTTAAATTCCAATCAACAAACCATGCAAATGAACAAGAATGGCAAAAGCTTTCAAAGAAAATATTCGTTTTTCATTTCAATGAATCAGGATTTCCAGTTGGGGTCAAACACAATAGATGGCGCCAGTGCCTTAATAAATAAAAAAAAAAAAATTGAGCCAAAACCGGCGCGGCCCATCGTAGCATATATACTTGATACATATGTATATAGTGAACAAATAAAAAACAGTTTCCCTGGCTGTACAACTCAACTCATTCGTTTCCACCAAGCATTACCTCAAACAAACAAAAAATCATTTCCAGTAGAAGTATGGGAGTATGGGTTTAGCACTATTTACTGGTGGCAGGCTTGACCCTTCTCCTCTTCAATGTATTGAGAAAATGAGCAAGAGGCATATCATCCATAATTCCTGCCTCTGATGTCGGAGGGGAAGGTCCGAGTCCAAGTCCATTTCCATCCCCTTGGATTCCACAGCCTCTTGAAGTAGTAGGTGTGTGTATATTACACTCCGGGATAGCACCACTTTCATTTGAGTTATGATCACTTCGCCTAACAGATTTTTTAAGAAAGGCAGCAAGAGTAATGGAGTCATCATCCTCTGTTTCTGCCAGCTTATTTGAGTGATCCACATCTCTGTGTTTAAGGCCTTTCTTTTTACCTTGCATGCAACACCTGGAAGTTCTCAAGTTGTTTGAAGGTGATGAACGATCGTGAGACACTTCTACCTGTTTAGCACCAGACTCCAGCTCAGAATTCTCTTCGAAAGATAGTGAAGAATCGTATAGCTCCCCCGATGGATCAGAGTCTAGGTTGCTTCCAGGAAGTTCTCGTAAAGGACCTTCCCGTTTACGTGAAGTAGGAAAGGGGTGATTTCCTTCGCTAACATATAGATCGCTACAGTTCTTTCTTGGGCGTCTTTTGCTCCTTTTCCTAGACTTCATAGCTTTTCCACCAAGTGTCCTAGCATCAGAAATTGAATTTGGAAAAGAGGAAGCGTCAAGTTTTGCATCATTGTCACTCCCTGAGTCAAACTCAGTTCCCCTTGTACTTCTCTTGAAGATAATATCATCTCCATTTGTTGTTTCAATCTCATCACTACCAGAAATCTCTGGAACTTCAACATAAGGTCCACGTTTTCTCTTCTTTCTAGGAGGCAATTTAGAAGTTCTATTATTCATAGCAACACTGAATTCCAGTCCTCCCCCCAGTTCATTGCCATTACATAACATGCCTGGATTTGCAAAAGGAGGACGCTTTCTTCTGCGGTTGGTGCATATTTTTCTTTTAGGCTGCCGCCTGCTCCTTCTGGACTTGTATGTGATACCATATCTGCGATTCTCAGCTATTGTTGGATCATCTGAAGACATGTTGCTGCAAATGAAAAGAAAAATAAATCACATTGATATCATACAAACACCACTTGCCACACTGCTGAAACATATTCTGGAAAGGATGCCATGGTGAGTAGAATGCCATCTGATAGAAAAATCAAGGAATACTTCAAGCAGCTCTTATTCAATAATAATCTCAATACTACCAATGCCATTCCCCCCCCCCCCCCCCCCCCCCCCCCCCCCCCCCTCTCAAAAAAACACCAAACTTTATAATCCAAAACAAATTCCCCAGTGATGTGGTAATAAACCCCAACCCCATCATCCACCTCCCCACTTTAATCCCAAAAGACCTCGTAGAAAACATACCCAGAAGATACATGACCAAGTATACTCAGTGAAGAAGAATTCATTTATTCATTGGTGTGTGGTAGGGTGAAAGTTCAAGTAGGCAATCATAACATACCTTGATGCCATCTTCCGTTTCCTAGAAGGTTCAGAGCCAGATGCCTGGAGGAGTAATGGTACTGGCGCAAAGTCATCCGGTTTAAGGGAAGGTCGTTCAGACTCCCTGTCAACAAAGTTGGATATGAGAGCAACCTTCTGTATTTTTCTAGCTTCCCGCAGCAAAGGCACTTCCTTTGGAAATAGTACCTTCCATCTCCTAAAGAAACAAAGGACTGATGAGTAGAATGGACAGCATAATAGCATTCAGGCCAATAGAAGTTTGTTTCTATAAATATTTTCTATAGCTATCAATATCAGGAGTCAGGACTCATACCTCCTACACTGACTATCAGTGCGTGGAGCAACACAAGCAGCAACTTTGGACCAGGAATATCCATGTTCTTGGATTGCAGCTTCCAACTTCAAATCCTCTTCTCCAGTCCATACATTCAGATTCAAAGAAGGATCTAAGCTATTGACCCATCTGCAATGAGAACAAGAAAGCTCCAATATTTAAGTGAAAAGCCAATTTTACACAACCATTATAAAGCTTAGATGCATAAAAAGTACCTTTCCCTACACTGCACATGTGTCCGCCCAGGTACGTATTGAGCTATCTTCCTCCAAGTTTTTGGCCCAAAAAGCATTACAGCAACTTTCAAGCGTTTATCTTCATCAGCAGTCCATTTCCCAACCCTTTGCCGAGCAGGATGAAGAGTCTTAATCCACCTGCATGATTTGGACAAATCAATCACCTTTAATTTATATGAAAGCATTCATTATATCAAACAAATAAGAAGCATTTTGGCAAAGGACTTAGAACTAAGAGGATTTGCTATATGCGGAAACTATCTACCAATTTGTTTTTCCCATTTTATTTCTTCTTTCTTTCCTCGCTTGCTATGGAGAAGATATAAGCAAGATAGAACTATTTATTAAAAGTTAAAAAAAAAAAAAAAAAAAAAAAAAGAGGAAAATTTGGTCTAAGTTCTGTTTTCCATTTCTTCTCTGTTGTTACGTTATTATAAAGATATAAATACCACCATACATATTACAGACTTAAGAATACAGTAACTTCATTAATACCTTGAAGTAAATCTGCATAAGTATACTCTATGTCATTCAACTGCAATGTGTAGTCAAAGGCTCAAATACTCATATAACTACAAATTTACTTTCAACGACATGTGAATCCATTTCACAACAGATTATGCAGAATAAATGAGAACACTTGAATTTCATTAAAAAGTATCAATCATAACCTTAATGTGGCAGTTACCTCAGATCAAATTAAGCGATATAATTCTGCAAAAACTAAGATTTCCTAGTGCCAATATCACATAGAATAGTTTGATTACCTCAACCTCAATAATAAACATGCCATGAGAAACTCTAACCATTAAAAAAGATAACTGACCTATTGGAGCACTGGGTACCTGTCCGTCCTTCAAGGGAAGCAGCAACAACCTGCCAATTACTCTCACCAAAAGCTTCCACAGCAGCTCTCAGTTTATTATCCTCCTCCTCAGTCCACTCCCTTTTAATTATTGAAGCATTTAGGCTCCTTTGATAGCGTGCTAAGCACTGAAATGGAGTTCTGTTAGTTCCTAAGGATAAGGCAATATCAATCCAGTTACTGAGACCCTTTTGTTGCACAATATGCAAAAGGTTCTTATCCTCCACAACACTCCAAGGTTCCTGATTGATTAAGGGGTCTTCCCAGTTCAACCATCTGCAGAATGTTAGAAACTAATTACATCAATTTCTATTACTCAAACAGTCAACAGAAGGATCAAATACTACAAGCTTCCTCAATTATGTACAAGGATGAGTGTTGAAGTTGACAAGTCCTGGCAAGAAAATCTACCATATCCAATGACATACAGTTGTAATGATGAAACTCACCCCCCCCCCCCACCCCCACCCCCCCAAAAAAAAAAAAAATCTTCAATTAATATACCAGAGTTAAAACTAATAAAGTAACTAAAGAAAGAGGTTACACAAGATACCAATCCAACCAAAATGAACCTCATACACTCTTTCTGGACCATGTGAGTCATATAAAAAGAACTCAGATCCAAGGTTTAAAAAAAAACACTTGTTGGGTGGGGTACAATTGGTACGAAGGCATTTTGTATTGGAGAGGCAGGGCATAAGCCTACGCCTCAAAATAGACCCCACAAAAGATCAAATATATTAGTTTTTTAGTTATTTATTTAATGGAACACCAAATTTAATTAGTCATCTATAATTTTTAAAATAAACTTTTAATATATTAATTATTTAAATCAAATGTATAAGGGTCTGTTTGGAAACCCGGAAAATGACTTCTGGAAATCATTTTCCGGGTTTTGGGTGTTTGGCTAGGCTGAAAAATGAATGGTCAAAGGAAAATTAAGAGAAGTCAATGGAAAATGAGCCCAAATTTCTGGAAAATGACTTCCCCTTTTTTTGGGGGGAAGTCATTTTCCATCTTCTCCACACACTTGCTTACCTTCAATTCCGCCTCCTCCTTCAACGCAGAAACAACTCCATGTCTCCACCAACAATGTTTCCGGCGGAAACCAGACGGAAACATTATTCTGGAAAAAAAAAAAAAAAAAAAAAACGTGAAGATGGAAACCAGAGAGAACTTCTCTCTGGTTTCCGGCGAGGGAAACCAGAGAGAACGTCTCTCTGGTTTCTTCCGTATTTTTTTTTTAATTTTTTTTAACTTTGTAATAATTAATATTATTTGATTTTAAAAAATAAATTTTATTATAATTTTTTTTATTTTAAATAAAATAATTAATTATATAAAATGGTTAATTATACAATTCTATCTCATTTTCCGAAAATGAACCAAACACACAAAGATTGTTTTCTGCCGTGCTGCCAAACACAATAAAGAAAAATGTTTTCCGGAAAATGACTCATTTTCCAGAAGTCATTTTCCTGCTTTCCAAACGGACCCTAAATTTTAAATATACGATAATATATATGTTATAATGTTATTATCAATTACTCCCTCCGTCCCATTTCACCTATCCTATTTACTATTAATTGGTTAGACCAACTCTTTCTTCTTTTTTATTTTCTTGTTATTTTTAAATTTGATTGTGTTCAATAGTACTTTTAGTGTAGTTTCTAAATATATAAATTTTATATACCAATACTAAATATTATGAAAAACTGAATTGCAAATAACTTTAGTCAAGCCTCATTAACTGAATCAAACACATAAAATGGGACGGAGAGAGTATCAATCATGTAATTAATACTTGAGAGTGTAAGCAATATTTGAGAGAGTTGTAGAGTTCTAGAATTCTCTCCTAGTTTCCAGGGATTCTAGAGTCTGTAATTAATATCTCCCAGTCTCTTAGTCTTATGGAGTACCCTCGGACTCCATCTTCCTGTCATCTCTATCCCAGACAACCATAGCAAGAAAAAATTAACAAAGGAACTATTGAAGAACAAGGGAAAAAAAAATTAAGCAAGAAGAAGACCCAAAGAAGTTGAAGCGCCATTGCTAGAGAAGTCAGAAATTAGTCTAAAACGGGCAGTCGGGTTCCCACAAGGTGGGAGTGCGGAGGAGGTTTATTCAGATGTGTTGACAGGAAGCACCGCTCCACCTCAAAAAGCCTCAAGAGCGCACTCCAGGGCCTACGCCCGTTGTTATGCAATGAGGGCACACACCCTGGTGTTACTTGTGCTCACCTCAAGCTGAGGTGCATCTCATAAAAACCTTTTTACACAATGCTTAGATCAGTCTTTGGATCCTAAATCTTATAGACATGTAGTGCATAACAACAAATGATTCTCTGTAATTTATGCATATATTTAAATACCTTGTTTGACATTCAGCACCAGAGTGCCTAGGAACATACATTGAAGCCAAACGATCCCAATTAACCTTGGGTAAAAACAGCCTCATCATTTCAGGGGTAATATCAAGGTCCTTTATTGATAGAATATTGCTATCAATATTAGTCATATCTCCAAAAGATCCGTCCATATCACTGCATACACACACACAAAATGATTATTATCAAACTAAAGCCTAAAAACTAAAAATGTCATCTCGTATAATCCAATATGATCCAATGTAATAAGCCAAAAACTAAAAATGTCATCTTGTATAATCCAAAATGATCCAACGTAAATAAGCCATCGGCCATCACAAGGAACAGGATGCCTAAAGCACAGACTTCTTTTCTTTACAAGTTTCTAGAAATCACCAGATAAGATACAATAGTAGGTATCAACTTTATTGCTTAATAAATAATAACCAATGAAAGACCTATAGCTATGTACTTCATCTACTGATGATGAAATGCATATGATGTCTGAGTCTCACCTACAACTGCTATTATATATACAAGTATATGTGTATTGCCAAATTGTATAATCTTCAATGTTTATTCATGAATTGCAATGTAATCACCAGCTAATATGAAAGACAAAATACATATATCTCCATTCTAGTATCTCAAATATATAGCCAAATTCAATGAATTTTAGTTTTTTGTCTTCAACCATCAAAAACATATAGAAGTTGAACAAAAGAAAATGGTGAGAAAAATGCTTGAAGCCAAGGACTAAAATCAAATACATGTGGTATGGGCAAAAAAAATAAGGATTACATCTCAGAAATGACATATGCTATGTGAAATTCAGCTTACAAACTGTTAGAAGATCATACCTTAGATCAATTGCACGTTGAAACATAGTTTCTTGGAATTGTTGCTTCACACCCTTCAGAAGATTCTCCCTTTCTTCCTTTGACCACTTTTCTCGATTCACAGAGACAGGAAACTTCTCTGAAGCATCTCTATAACTAGCAACTAGGGAATTCTCAGGTGGTGCATAATACAAAGCAGAAGATTTCTTCTCACTCGGCTGAAAGAACAAATTTATATTCAGATAAATTGTAAAACATCATAAAAATGCTCAAAATATGTTACATCTCCCAGTCATCAACAAAATAAAGATGAAAAGTCATATAGAGTATATCACCTATTATATTATAAATATAAAAACAATTTAAGAACAAATCTATATACATATTACATACTGACCTTAGAATTAACCCTTTGTCTTGGTAATATCAACTGGACACGTGCATCCTTTTTCTGTGCCAAGGCATGCCCAGTTCTCTTTCGGCAAGAAACCTGATAGTCTTTCAAGATTTTAACCCGATCCTTAAGTTTTTTCAGTTCTTCAATCCTTGCTTCAACATGAATCATTTTACTTCGAATAAGTTTCTGGAAAGCCCTATTCTTCTTTATTGCATCCACAAAAGCTTGTGCTGACTTAGGGAAGCCAGAACTTTCAGATGATGCATTTTCAGCGCCACCATCCTGGGGTATAGCACCTTCTGAAATCGGAAGGGCACTGTTATTTCCATCTACACAAGTGGGAAACCCTTCCCCAGCATTAGTTCTCTCTAGAAAGAAATTATTGCAACTTTCCTCTTCTGAGGTTATGTTAGTAACACCAACCTGCTCAGTATTATGCAACTCTTTATCCAATTCCTCTTTTGTAGTATCTGCATATCAGAGTGAAAGAAGGAAATCATTTTTGTTTTGTAACCGGATAATCAGATGGCATCATCATATTTTAGGCAATGTTGAATACTATAGTAAATTTAAAATTTAAAAAAAAAAAAAAAAAAAAAAAAAAAAAGATTCAAAATTGTGAATGATTCTTCATTAAGGCAGATTCTAAGAAACTTGAAAAAGGAGGAACAAACTAACAAAATAACCTACCGTCATAATATGACGCAAATCGTCGTTCAATAGCACGGAGCGTTTCGATATCATCTTCAGACTCATTCCCACTCTTAGTGGGGAATAGCGAGCATATAGGCCTCATATCCAGAGGCACCTGAACATCAGTGGAAAGTGCAAACCGCTTCTGAATATCACGAACCAGCTCAACATCATCCACCCCGTCGTCGGTGTCAGGGGAGGATGGGACACTATTGCTGACGGAGCGGCCGGAGAAATCATCGTCAGCGTGGCCGGGGCTGGCTCCGGCCAAAACGCAGGCCCTCTTTAGGGCTTCCATGTCGGCTTCGAATCCGTCATCGCCGTCGAATTCTTCATCGCTATCGGAAGCCATCTCCAAATCTCACAGAGAGTTTAGCAATTCGTCTTCCAAATCGAAGCTAATGGATGTTGCAATCGAAGAGATCGCTAAAGAAAACGAAATAAATGCTTTTAAAAATTTTAAATAAATAGTGCATTGGGTTTAAGGTTTAAGGATGGCGCAATTGAGCGTTAGGGTTTATGCCCTAAATTGAACGAGAATGAATATTGGCGATTTGGCGGCTTGGCGGTAACAAGGACTGTACTCTGTAGTATATTGATTGATTCTAAATGCCTCTGAACCGGGTTTTAGACATTTGGGCTTAAGAGGTTCTCATCAAATTACGGCCCAATATTCTTGGAAATCTTTTGAATTTGATTTGGCAATTTATATCCGGCAAATTATATTATGCACCGCGATTATGCACCGCGCATCTTTTTTTAAATGAAAATAAACAGTGTTTGTTTCTGCCGTTTCGCACCCTTTTGCAAAAAGTAACTCTGTTATTCAGTGTTATTTTGTATACACTGCAGTTTCAGTTCAACACAACTACAGTTTCATTTCGATATAACTATAGTTTCATTCGATATTTATAGACTTAAATGTGTGAAAATGTTATTTAATTTTATTTTACATACACTATAGTTTCATTAAAACACAACTACATGATCATTTTGATATAATTACAGCTTCATTGTACAATATACACTCAAATATGTGAAATGTTATTCAGTTTCATTTTATATACACTGCAGTTTCATTTCACTATAACTAAAGTATCATTTTGATATAAGTGCAGTGTCGGTTTAGATATACTATAGAGTCAGTTGTTGTTTGATACACCAAACAAGCGGACTCCGTTAACTCTAACGGCGGGCCGTTTCTTTACTTAAAGAAACGGCGCCGTTTTTTACCGCGGTGCACATGCACCGCGGTCTATAATATAACGACTGTTTATATCCTACACCACGGCGCGCGTTGCACTGTGCGCCCAGATGCAAAACGACGTCGTTTTAATATTTTTTTTTTTTTTCTGAAATTTCGCGCCCTAGTGAATGGCAGTAATTTTTTCTTTAAAAAAAAAACCCGTTGTTCAAAAATGTACATAATGTTATACTACACATAATTGTATACATGAATGTACATAATTATATAACAAAATATACATACTCTTTTTAAAAGATAATACACATAATCTAACATAATACATAATAAACATAAATTTTTAACATAATACACATCAACTCTTAACATAATACACACAAATTTTCTGATTCGGATGTACATAATTGTATAAAAAGAATGTACATAATTGTATAAAAAATGTACATAACTGTATGAACAAATACACATAATTGTGTGAACAAATACACATAATTGTGTGAACAAATACACATAATCACAGCAACTTCCTACCGCGCCTCCCAAAACGACCCCAAAACGACGTTGTTTTGGGAGGCGCGCGGCGCACAGTGCTACGCGCGCTGTGATGTAGGGTATAACAATTGATTTGATTTTAATGGCAAATTATGCCGTGGACCAGGTCCAAAATGCGCGTCTGGAATAACGGTGTCGTTATTGTCATCATTCTTTCGGTCAATGATATTTTTTTTGAATATAGAGTTCAAAAAAAGTGTTATATTGTTGAATATAGCTAGAGTTTTGTAATTGTGAATATAGAGTTCAAAAATTGTGAATATAGAGTTCTGTAATTGTGAATATTGAGTTCTATAATTTTGTATATTGAGTTCTAAAATTGTGAATATAGAGTTCTAAAATTGTTAATATAGAGTTCAAAAATTATGAATATAGAGGAACAAATTCTCAAGACAACCGGCAAGGAATGAAGCATTTTTTTTTTAAATTCAGACTTCAAAACGACGCCATTTTGGACGCAAGTCCACCTTGCAAGGTGGACCCAAGTCCATGGCATAACTATTGGCAAATTATATTGTGGACCATAAATCGATGTTTATTTTTAATATATTGAAAATTCATTATTTTTGTATTGAAAGTTCTTTATTTGGTCAATTGTTATATCGTGCACTATGGCGCACACACTAGTATAAATTTGAGAATATAAGACCTACTTTCCGAGACACCTTTACGAAAGTGTTGTAGAAAGAAAATGGTAAAACTTTCCGCGTCACCAACCGGGTAAAGGTGCCTCGGAAATTATATATTATTAAAAAATAATAGGAAAATCCGCGACACCAACTGGAAAGGGGTGTCGCGGATATTATACTATTAAAATAATAATAAGGGTATCCGCGGCACCCGCTATAGAAGGTGCCGCGGATATTTTATTATTAAGGAGCATTGTGCGCCCTAAAAATTCCCTGTTTCTTATGTACATATTTGTATAGTAGAATACACATAGCTCTGTTTGACAAAGCTTATTTTAAGCTACTAATAAAAGCTCTGTTTGGTAATGTTCCCAAAATAAGTTACTAGCTTCTTAACTTTTTTTTTTTTATCTTTATCCTTATTATTTTAAAGAAATGACATACTTTATCTTTCTCAATTAAAACCCTTTTCTCTTCTCAGCAACTTTCACAACACGAAAATCCCTCCATCTTCATTCGCACTCCACTCCCTTCATCTTCATTCGCACTCCTCTCCCATCATCTTCATTCGCAGTCCATCGTTCATCAACGAAAATTTAAGTCAGACCTCTATTGAGATGAAGGATATTCGCAACAATATTGCTACATCATTATGGGATGCTAGATCATTATTATGCTAATATTTTTATTTCAAAATGTTAAATTTTTTTGAAGACAAAATGTCAAATTTTAATATGTAAACAAACTACTTTAAATTTGTTGAAGATGTCATTTTTAGTCTTTTTACATTTATCAGCTTATCAAAAAGTTAATTTTACCAAACACTTTCAATCATAACAACTAACTTAACAGCTCTTCAGTTTTCAGCTCCTAGCTTATAGCTTTTCAGCTTTCAGCTCTTAGCTTATAGTTTTTCAGCTAGGTTTGCCAAACATAGCCATAAACTCCTAACATAATACACATAATCGTAACATAATACATAATACACATAAACTCTTAACATGATACACATAAACTTTTAACATAATACACATAAACTCTTAACATAATACACATAAACTCTTATCTTAGGGGGCGTTTGGTTTACGGAATGTTAGATTGCTAGGAATGTTAGATTCTTGTGTTTGGTTTAAAACTAAGATATGTAAATAAGACAATGGTAATAATACAAATTGATTAAAATGTCAAAAGCTCAAAATTTGTAATAAGGCAAGGGAATGTGAGATTACCTAAGAAATTGGAGGGTATCTCACATTCCCTTCCAATAGCTAAAAACTTGATGTGGAGGTTATGTGACATCCCTGGAAAAATTACATAACCAGAACCAAACATAAAAATCTTATATTTCCAAGCAAATATAACCTTAGTTATCTTATATAACTTGAACCAAACACCCCCTTAACATAATACACATAAACTCTCAGGGCGCACAACGCATTGTGCACCCCTGGTGCATGATATATTGATATAATAAGCCTTATTTGGTATACTACCAAACAATACACGAATAATGAAACATCTTAAAATGACCTTGTGATTCACTGGTACTAAGTTATTTCTTTATGTGGGAGGTTATGGGTTCGAGCCTTGGTAGATGCAGACTTGTAATTACCATTTTATCTTTCTTATGATTATTACTAGTTCTTTTACGCGCTTTGCACGAATGGAATAATGCCCAATGATTATTTTTAAATATGTATTTCAAAGTATATCAATGCAATATTATATCGAAGATGTTCATGCATAGGTAAATAAATATTAAATTTGTTTATTTAAATCGGTAATTTAAAGTATATAAATGCAAGATAATATATGAGAGATTGATTATATTGTTACTAAAATAAATATTTGCAACTTTGTAATAACGTTAATCTAAATACTTAGTCTAAAAACGATAATCTAAATAAATAATATTTTTTGTTTTAATTTATCTAATTCTTCTTAATTCTCTTTTGGGTAGCATTGTCATTGTCTTCATTTTCAGTACTTGTCCTTCTTTTTTTTTATTAGTAGTGTGTCATGTGCAATTGGGTTACTGCTGGTAGAATAGATGGATTCGTCGTACAATGAGATTATGGTGTAGGAAGCTTTAGATTTGCTTTGTTGTGTATATGATGGGATCTTAGTTGTACTATTAACTCTTTATCTTACAAGCACCTATTGATATTTGGTAGTTGTAGTTTTTCCCCTACATATTTCATGCGTTGTGAGATGTGTGTCTTAAGTTATCATGTGAAAGTATTAAACAAAATATTAATATTTATTATATTTGTATAAAATACTTGGTATATATATATATATATATATATATATATATATATATATATATATATATATATATATATATATATATATATATATATATATATATGTTCAGGTCCATTTAAGTGTTTCTCGTGCGGTTGTGCGGGTGATTAATGTGCGCGAATTTTGTACTTAGGCCTTGTTTGGTTATTGGCGGATCCGCCGGTTTCAGCATTTTGACCATGTCAAAACGCTAAAAACTATATTTGGTAAATGGCGGTTTGGAGCAGCGGATTTGCTCCAAATCGCCAAAATCTGAAACCCTGCTATGTGCAGCGTTTCAGAATGGCGTTTCGGGCTTTTGTCCAAAAGACCCTTAATTCTATATATTTTTTTTTTGGAATAAGGGTCAAATAGGCCACTCAACTGCACACAAAATTGCAATTAGGCCATTGAACTAAAAGAGAATGCAATTGAGCCATTGAACAACACAAAAACATGCAATTTAGTCCAAAATGACTTGTTTACCTGTTGTAGCAAGTTACCCATTTTTTAATTAATTTTTAAAAATAATTTTTAATTTTTAATAAATAATTAATTTAAATTTAAATTTAAAAAAAAAAAAAAACAGCCGGCCGGAGACGATTCCGACTTCGTCTCCATCGCCGGAGACGAACCTCCGTCTCCAGGTAGCCATGGAGACAAAGACCTTCGTCTCCGGCTATGGAGACGAAGATCTCTTCGTCTCCAGCTATGGAGACGAAGATTTCTTCGTCTCCATAGCCGGAGACGAAGGTCCCCTTTGCAGCCGGAGACGAAGAGATCTTCATCTCCATAGCTGGAGACGAAGGTCCCCTTCGCAGCCGGAGACGAAGAGATCTTCATCTCCATAGCCGGAGACGAAGGTCCCCTTCGCCTGGAGACGGAACC